AGCCTATTAAGCGCTCAAACACTAACAAACTGACAAGATCTTTCGCTGTCTATAGCCGGGTACCCATTCCCACCTGGGTGAAGTGAGGAAAATAAGTGCAAAGTGCCTTTTCCAAGGACACAACATCGGGACCCTGACGGGATTCGAACCCCCGACCTTACGGTTGGAGTCCGAGAGCCTAACCACTAGGCCACCGACGCCATCTATCACCCCTTATTAATTATTTAATTATTATCATTCATCGGAATGCCGGTGACGAAGTTACTAACGATAGAAATGCAGCATCCATACTTCACAAAACAATACACCAACCTATCCATGTTGTTTTGGGGCATTCTCATTTCTTTCACATAGTTTGGAGTTTTCTGTACCGATTTTTCTGCAGTCTGCGATTACAAATGGTTCACGTGAAAAATGGCAAAATGTTAAAATTGTTTCACTCAGGTCTCTAAAACTTTGGAAAGACTTTCCCACCTATAATTCAGCTGCCATGTTGACCGATCCGACTCTTGACTTGGAGGACAAGAGTGACTGAGTGAGTGACTGAATCTTGCGCGATTGATCACGCGAATTTTAAAGGAACAAGCGCAGAAATCCCCACGGGCCAGAACACGGAACATGCGTAGAAATCCCCAAGGGTCAGAAGCCGCAGGCCAGGCGGGGCTAATCGACGATTTCGTTCGCCCGGAACATGCGCAGAAATCCTTGATCAGGCGAGTAGCCTGACGCTAGCCACCCGATTTCGGGCGAGTAACCACTCCGTAAAAACAATGCCACTAACCATCCAAATTTAGCTTTTCTCCAATCTCAGTCCATTGCTTATTCAAATACACTCTGTTGCAATAATTGTCGTTCGTCTTGTCAAATAGAGCTGGCCGCTTTTGCACCTCTTTAATTAATCTTTCACAAGCGTCCACGATTTTAGCGAAACAAGTGCAAGATGTACGCTGGAACACGAAAGATTCACTGCGTTGACGGTCGAAAGCCGGATGGTTTTAAGTGCAACTGTAAAAAGCTTTCGTGAAGAATTTTCCACGACCGGACAGAGGTAACCACTGTGGCGACAACACATATTTTGGTTTGGTAGCGATAAAGGAGACCATACCGTACCTTCCGTTAAGGAGGCGGTAGGTCACAGAAGTCAGCTCACATTTCGTGCAGAAAACGCCCGCAAGCCGGATCAACTGTGTTTGCAGTACGGACACTATAGACCTAACAAGGATATTTCATAAGATAAACTACTACTTCCAACTGGGGTGGAAACTACTAATTTTGATTTTGAGGATGGACAGTTTTGTTTCATTAACTTATCACCTCACCGCGAGCCAATAATTATGGAACTGGATCGACTGGCGGACCAGACTGCAATTATTCTGGATCTGGCCCGTAGTCTGTAGTTTGCCCACGTCTGCTCTTTCAGTCTGTATTATTCTCATTGTGTTGAAACATGGAAGCCTTTCAATATAAGATGTTTTTGCTTACAGCTACACTGCAGGCGTAGGTACTCTGACTTTTATGATAATGGTATTAACTTCATAATGATAATGACTATGGCGATCTTTATTCGTATCTAAGAGAAAAATGTGTCATGGTCGTTCACAATGGTAGTAGATGTTACAGGTCAGATGCACTCACGCGTACATACAAGACAGGGCATTAGATTATTAAAGAAACATTTTTACGTAAGAACCTAGACCGAAGGGCTAGAACCCAAATGGCCGCTGGATCGGAAAAGTAAAGTAAAGTAAGTAAAGTACGTAACAACCTACCTTAAGTTCCAAGGCAAGTTGTTTGAATACAGTCTGAGGAGGAAAACCTGGCATCCCAGGGAAATTTCGAGCAGGCGTGAACTTGCGTTGCCGGTTTGACTTCTTGGAACCATCCTCGTGAGACACTGTGACCGAAATTTCCAATGACACATTATTCACGAGAGAGAGCGAGAGAGAAAGAGGGGGGGAGAGAGAGAGACAGAGAGAGGGAGAGAGAGGGGGGGGGGGAGAGAGACAGAGACAGAGAGAGAGAGAGAGAGAGAGAGAGAGAGAGAGAGAGAGAGAGAGACGTAGACAGACAGATAGACAGACAGACAGACGGACAGACAGACAGACACACACACACACACAGACACACACACACACAGACAGACACACAGACAGACAGACACACAGACAGAATGATTTAATGGAGTTTGAGTCAGAAATAAGTTACCTTCGGTCCGAAATGTAGGCTAAGTTTGTTTGGGTTTGTTTTGTTTTTGTTTTCCCTATGAGTATGTGTTTTGTTTTTGGTTTTTATTTATTTTCATCTTGTTCTGTTATGTTTTTTCATTGATCACCCGGAGATTATTTCATTATTAGAGTTTAAGTCAATGATTTTGCCACACATTTTGTTGCTTACGAATATTATTGAACTCTTTGTGCAAGTTACCTTTGGGGCTGGCCGGGTCTGACATAGTTCTTGTGGACCAGGTCAAGACCAGGGTCAGAACGAGAGCACAGGGCCTGGGGAATATTATTTTTTGGCGATTAATTCATGTGCGTGATATGGGATGAGGTGAGATGGGGTGAAAGGAGGTTAGGTAAGGTGCGGTGATATGAGATGAGATATTCAAAATGAGGCAATGCGTACTAACTGTCCTTGGTTGCACCAGAGACACTCCAATTGTTTGTCTAAGACACATACTTGGACTCTCCAGTATACGAGTAAGACACAAATTGGCTCAGGCTAAGATGTACCTGAAAGTTATGGAAATGGAAGGCCACCCACTTCACCCAGTGATCAAGCAGGACAGACGGGCCCAACTAAAGAGAGGTCAATCTTGGATGGCACAGGCAGAAGCGTCTGTAAAGAAGGTGTGTGTGAGTTACATGATATAAACGATGGCAGTGGGTGGATTCAAGTGTCACAAGAGGCTGCACACAGTTTGACAAGAGTCATCATTGGTGTAAAGAAGGGAGATGTACTGGAGGTGGCAGGAACAGCAGAGTTGGAAGTAAGACAGATTGGTGAGGAAAACTTCAGGCCCCTGGATCCAGTAATATACACTGATGGTTCTGTGAAACGTGGGGTGAAAAGAGGTTGGGGCTTTGTTGTATATAAAGATGGCCACATAATTAAAAAACCATCTGGTGCCTGCAGCAAGACGACTTCAAGAACACAAATGGAGATAAAGGCAGCGACAAGAGCATTTGAATGGCTCAAACAGAGCTTGTGTTCTGTCAGACATGCTGTCATTGTCACCGACTCTCAAAACATAGTGTAGAGAGTCAGTAAGTGGATTTTGAGAAAAGAATGGCTGCAAAGCATAGAAGAAACCAGACTGAGAAAAATATAACGCTTTTCACCTATTTGTGCTGTGAGGGTGTTTGCAAGTGGTCCTTGGCTTATTTTGAAGACTGCAGTAATGGTAATAATATCAATAATAATAATAATAATAATAATAATAATAATAATAATAATAATAATAATAATAATAATAATAATAATAATAATAATAGCCTCCCAAAGACCAACCCTTCGTCCTCGTCGGGGGAGGTGGAAACTGGACAAAGTAGGGGATAGCTGGGTCTGGGTGATGTACGGTGTGACTTTATGTCATTGAGGCGTTACGCTAGCTGTGAAGGCCGACCCGGGTCACCCCGAAATGTTGCTGGCTAAAGGGGCTCTGGAGAAACCGTGACTGGCCAAGCAAGCCCGCGGCGGATAATTACTGTTACGAAACAATCAAAGGAGAAAACACGGACAGATGCAAACGGAAAACGACCAGGAAAAGTAAACGGACAGCGAGCTAGAACAACGATTAAAATAGGCACATGGAATGTCAGCGGACTTGGAGACAAAAAACCCCCCAGAAATAGTGAATTTCATGGAAAGAAAGAAAATAGCAATCATGGGCTTGTCAGGCATAAGGAAGAGAGGCAACCAAAGCAAGCTGACCTATAAAAGCTACCTCCTGATCTGGAGCGGAACACCTGAAAATGAGAGAACCAAACGTGGTGTAGCTTTCATTATACACCCAGCCAAAATGGATACAATCTATGAAATCAGTCAGATCTCAGAGAGAATAGTGAGCATAAAACTCATAGAGGGGGGCAAAACAACTACGTACATCCAAACATACGCTCTTTGTAACGACAGCTATACAGAGGAAGATATACAATCATATTTCCAAAACATGAATGACGATATTAACACCATCAAGTACATTTAAATGGCCGAGTGGGACGAAGAAAAACCCCTTGGGAAGAGTACTGGGGGACCCACAGCGATAAAGATACAGACTGCAACAGCAATGGAGAAATGCTACTAAACCTATGCGCTGAGCACGTCATGATGATTACGAACACATTTTTCCATCATGGACAAAGCCAAATCAAGACCTGGTACAAATGGAGTGACCTGAACCATGCGTCACAAATTGATTTCATCCTGATGCGCAGAAAACAAAGACATACAGCCAAAGATTCGAGAGCGGTTCCAAACTACATCATTGACACGGACCACAGACCTGTGATACTTACTCTCACAACCAACAACGTAAAGCAAACAAAGAAGAACAGAGGAAAAACCACGACTAGCCTAAGAAAATTGGAAGAACCACATATCAAGACAGCGGTCGAGGATGACATTACCAAGGAGTACTATAAACTGTCACCTGAGATCAAGGACATAGAAGACGAATGGCAAATATTTTTTTTTAATCCCTGTCAGAAATACTTTAAAAAAACAGCTGTGGCACCAAACGAATATGTGGAAACAAAGGCAGAACAACAAGCTGGTGGAATGATGAAACCAAAGAAGCAATTAGAAAGAAAAAGAAGAAATTCAAGAAATGGCAGAAGTCAAAGACAGAAGAAGACTATATAGAATACAGGAAAGCGAGAAGAGACTTGCTAATTTCGATACGCTGATTCCGAATGTCACAATGGGTTGTTTTTTTTTTCAAAATAAAAAAGATTAAGGAAATTTTGTTACCCCAATGTTGTTCTCCGCCTAATAAAAACTTCAAAGGAAGTCGGCGGAGGTCGGTTGTCACCACCAGCGCGGCTGGCTGGCGTCGTCGTCAGTGGCCACACGCCTGATATGATGCCACACAAAAAATGAACATGTTCATGTCACCTCAACGTGTGTTGAAATACATTTCACGTTACAAGTTTCAAGCCACGTCCTCTGTGCAGGCTGCCATTAAGATATTTGATGTCATTCTTTGTCACGCGCGTTTCAGGCTTCAGATTTCACATTTCTCGTTTCACGACGTGTCCTATGTGAGGCCGGCCTTAGGCTCCTTCTTGCTACTTTCGAGAGTCATGAGTTCAATTTTTGAGACTTGTATTCTGGAGTGGGGAAGAAGTTTTCTTTCTTTTTTGTAAGTATCAAAATCCCCCGTCTGTCTGTTGGTGTGCTGCATTTCTGTCAGCTCACATTAGCACTGATAGGCATGGTCAAAGTGGACCATCTCCTACAGTACCTAATAGGAGTTAAAGGGGGCGTAAAACATTACTTGTATTATCATTATGATAGTTGAATCCCTTCATTGTGCCTAAAGCGGAAATAACCAAAAAAATAAGGGTCTATCATCGGCGCCATCCAACCACCCGCTTTCTGAAGTTCATTACATGGAATTCCGCGTGACACCTGCTTAAATTTTAATATCAACGTGTTGCTGTATCCACAAATCAATGGAGGGGGAGTTCTAAGGCAGACTACATCTTTGGGAACTCTTTCAGCTAAATGAATATCCTGCAAGACTGAGTAATGGACCACTCTGGCTCGAGATTCTGTCGCAGCATTCTTGATCTTGATTGTTTCTATTAGGACGTCTCAAGGTTCTGGTCATATTTAAGCGATGTTCCCTTGGGTACGTTTAGACATAGTGGCACAACGCAATGTGTTTTTTTAAAATACGCTATTTGCATTAAATAAACAGTCAAAACACTTCTAAAAGGAGGAAAACATTTATTATCGTATACCTTGATAATTATTCTTGATCCTACATATATTTTGCATATTATCTAATACATAGATAAATCTGCTTGTTCCTTGAAATATTACCTCTGTAATATGTGTAGGTGTACATATGTATTGTTATGTCTTCAATGCATGCATGTTTTTCCCCAGTTTAAAAAAGAATGCTTTCGACAATGGGTATCATAATCGTCTGACGTTCAGTCTCCTAAACACTCTGCCAGCGTCTGTGGTTTAATATGTAACATGGCCTGTTAGGCTCTTCGCTGTTACTTTCAGAGGTCTTTAGTTCGATTCTGGAGCGGAGAAGTAGTTATCTTCTTTGTTTGTTTGTTTCTTTCTTTCTTTCTTTCTTTGTTGCTGATATTGTTTGGGGTGAGGGATTTTTTTCTGAGTACATGTATAAAAAATCCTCGTCTGTATGCTGGAATGCTGCATCCCTTTCAGCTCCCATTAGCACGGACAGGCAGGGTCAAAGTGGTACACCTCCTACGTTACTTAATATGAGTCAAAGGGACTTTTAACATCACTATCATTTCAATCCTAAAATTCGCCCGATTGAAATAATTCGAAATATTTCCACAAACAGGGCTGTGATACACAACAACTGGAGCGCAACACAAGACTCATTAAATGTATTTATTGCATTAGTGGTACATCTTGACACGCAAAATCATTCGTGACGCATTCATTAACTAACTTTAAAAGCCACAGAAGGATTTAAAAGGAAAAAAATGTTTGTCTTAGAGTGACTTCTGTTCGTTTGCTTAGAGTTCGGTTGTTGAAAGAAGACGAGGAGGGAAAAGTGTTCGTGGGGAAAGGGTAGTGGAAGGGGGGGGGGGGCGGTGGACACCTGATCAAATATCAAGGAGCAGACATGCAAAACTATGTAAATATATCTGTCAGAAAGACTGCTGACAACATTTGCCAAAATGTACATGCACCTACTTTTACGAGACCCAAGGAGGTAAGAGTAGTCTTCGGTCGCCACCCGGGAAAAATTCAAAATTAATTCCTACCAACCCGATTAATGTGTAACGCGCGCTCGTATGACCTTATGCAGTAATTAGCTTTAAGCTTTTAAATTTTGAATGATTGGCTATTTTTACCATTGGGAGGGGATTGTTGGAATGTTGGATTGTTGAATTAATTGGCTTTAAGCCTTTTATTTTGTATTATCTATTTCTAATTGACAGTACCAAGAAGGTATGCTTCAACACTTCCTATCAAGGCCAACCGGGGCTGAGAAGTGTACACCTTCCCAGTAGAAAGACTGAGATACACGTTACTTGATAAGAATTCTCCCAATAGGACCCGAAGTCAGATCTTCTGAGTGCGACGGTATAGCACCCAAATACTACACCACATACGCCAGAACCTCTAATTTAAATGACATTAAATTGTCTTGTTTGCTTTGTTTCTTTGAGTAGACACAATAATGGCCATAGTGCTGCAGACAAGAACCCCCGGGGCGCTGCCACAGACTGAAGCGTCTTTAGGCCATTCCCAAAAGGGGGGGGGGGGGGACATTAACTTG